CACTGTGTTGTCAGGTGTGTTGTGGTTCTCTGCGTCGCAACACTGTGTTGTCAGGTGTGTTGTGGTTCTCTGCGTCGCAACACTGTGTTGTCAGGTGTGTTGTGGTTCTCCTCGTCGCAACACTGTGTTGTCAGGTGTGTTGTGGTTCTCCTCGTCGCAACATTGTGTTGTCAGGTGTGTTGTGGTTCTCTGCGTCGCAACACTGTGTTGTCAGGTGTGTTGTGGTTCTCTGCGTCAAAACACTGTGTTGTCAGGTGTGTTGTGGTTCTCCTCGTCGCAACACTGTGTTGTCAGGTGTGTTGTGTGTTCTCCTCGTCGCAACACTGTGTTGTCAGGTGTGTTGTGGTTCTCCTCGTCGCAACACTGTGTTGTCAGGTGTGTTGTGGTTCTCTGCGTCGCAACACTGTGTTGTCAGGTGTGTTGTGGTTCTCCTCGTCGCAACACTGTGTTGTCAGGTGTGTTGTGGTTCTCCTCGTTGCAACACTGTGTTGTCAGGTGTGTTGTGGTTCTCCTCGTCGCAACACTGTGTTGTCAGGTGTGTTGTGGTTCTCCTCGTCGCAACACTGTGTTGTCAGGTGTGTTGTGGTTCTCCTCGTTGCAACACTGTGTTGTCAGGTGTGTTGTGGTTCTCCTCGTCGCAACACTGTGTTGTCAGGTGTGTTGTGGTTCTCCTCGTCGCAACACTGTGTTGTCAGGTGTGTTGTTGTTCTCCTCGTCGCAACACTGTGTTGTCAGGTGTGTTGTGGTTCTCCTCGTCGCAACACTGTGTTGTCAGGTGTGTTGTGGTTCTCCTCGTCGCAACACTGTGTTGTCAGGTGTGTTGTGGTTCTCTGCGTCGCAACACTGTGTTTCAGGTGTGTTGTGGTTCTCTGCGTCGCAACACTGTGTTTCAGGTGTGTTGTGGTTCTCTGCGTCGCAACACTGTGTTGTCAGGTGTGTTGTGGTTCTCCTCGTCGCAACACTGTGTTGTCAGGTGTGTTGTGGTTCTCCTCGTCGCAACACTGTGTTGTCAGGTGTGTTGTGGTTCTCCTCGTCGCAACACTGTGCTTCAGGTGTGTTGTGGTTCTCCTCGTCGCAACACTGTGTTGTCAGGTGTGTTGTGGTTCTCCTCGTCGCAACACTGTGTTGTCAGGTGTGTTGTGGTTCTCCTCGTCGCAACACTGAGAGTCAACATCAGTATCACCAAGGTGTGCGTGTTCATCCTGGCTACTTGCCTCTCTTACTCTAATTTTAATTTTATCCATCAACAAAATTTATAATAAAACCAAATACTGAAACAACGATTGTTATTATTGCTTCTTCTTCTTCTTCTTCTTCTTCTTCTTCTTCTTCTTCTTCTTCTTCTTCTTCTTCTTCTTCTTCTTCTTCTTATTATTATTATTATTATTTATATTTACATTATTAATATTTATGTTATTATTATTATTATTATTATTATTATTATTATTATTATTATTATTATTATTATTATTATTATTATTATTATTATTATTATTACAGCATGACAGGAATATGACATCATGACAAGAATATGGCAGTATGACAGGAATACGACTTATATTCTATTCACAAAACAGCTGTTTTAATTTTGATATAATTTTTTCTTAGTCTAGAAGACAAAGATTCTGTTTCAGTACCTTCCTTAGAGGAGAAGACGACGAGGAGGAGGAAGAAGACGAGGAGGAGGAGGAGGAAGACGACGAGGAGGAGGAAGAGAAGGAAGAATTGTGGACTTTGTAGAGTTCTTTAACCGGGAACTAGTTATTGTAATGTACAATCACAACTCAGACAACCTAACATACAGCTCACAACACCACATTAAAAAACTCAGTCGTTTAAACAGAAAATAAATACCAATATAAATGCTAAAAGATGCTGTTGTCTTATAAGACAACGTTAATTAATTTACCGTAAATGATTCCCCTTGAAATGCCACCAAAATACACACACACACACACACACACCATTCGTTATTAAACACTGGTAAACAGTTATGGCTGGAGTCCAGGATGCTCTGGCTATGTCATTAAAATATGGGTCACAGGGAAATACTCAAGAGCTCCTGCAAGAAGGTGTCGATTTGTAAAGTGAATGTTTTGTATCCTCACTCATCCGAAAATCATCTTAGTATGATGATTGAAATGGCTTGACACCTACGTCCTGACGAGCCCTCAGATACGCCTCTTGTTTATTATAAAAGTCCTGCATTTTTCATCGTTGTCAATTCCCCTGAGTCCCGATTCTAGACTTTTTGGAAAACTTTGGATCAAGTATGGGATCCATTTTGGCTCCTCATGCCCCAAGATTGTCAGAATGTTTGTACCGTAAGACTCTTGAAGCTAGTTTGTTTTGTATATGCCGCTCAAGTTACATGGTTGATGTTTGCTGAAGGTAATATGTTCGGTGTATTACTTACCCCTACTTCTTATACTTTGTAGATAAATGGTTCAGAGAACCAACAAGTTGATAAATTAGACAGTTGTGCAACACTTGGGTATCTTCATTGAGGCAACATCTTGGGATCTTGATACAGAGAATTCTTCACTTACCTAACCTATAGGCATGATCTACTTCCACATATTTATCTTTCCAGTGTGATATCGCCTACGACTGCTTCACCTCACCTGTCTACAGCATATTAATCACTTCTTCGAGCATATGCTGCATCCTTTTCAAGATTGATAGACTGATTACATCGACTCCAGGCTGAGGGACTGATTACCTCAAACTCCTTCTGATCTTCGCCATTCTTCTTTATATAGGACTGATGAAGCCACTGTGTGGCGAAACGTTTCCTTAATGAAGATACCCAAGTGTTGCACATGATCATGTCTAATATATCTTCTTGTACTTTGTTGGGCAGTGACTACTCTTGGTTTCCATTCCATTCTTCTAATGTCTCCGTTCTTATTAATTTGCGATTACCAAGGCTGAATTCTAGTTACCCCTTGTATGGGTCAGGGTGAAGCATGTCCACTCTGAGTATTTCCCTGTCCTCTTTGGTTATCATTCTCGTTGCCGTCACATCAGGAGCAGACATTGATATTTAGGATTCGCTTTTTCCAGCAGGACGTTTATTTCTGGAATATCAAGAGTCAGTGAGCTGATACTTCCTGACCTCCACATCATCCATGATCACTATGATACCTTCTCTCTCATTATAACTCAAACTTCTATTCTACAGTAATTCCTGTTTACTACAGTACTTTGTTTTTCCTGCCTTCATTTCAAGTTCGTGTATCAGCGTTCGGTGTAGCTGTGTCTCAAATGTTTTCTTAACATTTAGGAAAACGTTGTCTAAACTTATATGGGTTTCATACTGTTTTTTTATTCCTAGCAATAATCTCTGGAAGACTCGATGGAGAGAATTTGCCATCTCAGAGTCCACACTGGCTGTCTTGTGCGTTCCTTTCTTTCTTGATGCTCTAATAATATTTTTTATCATTATAGTATGCATAATATAATAAGTTCGTCAGAAGAACTCTATAGTTCAGTATTTCTTTTATACGATTTTGTGTTCTTGGATCACATTTGTAGTTCTCCAGCTGCCTCATAGTTGCCCAGTTTCCATTGACTTTTTAAGCAGTCTTGCGATGGTGCTGCGCAGGTACTGTCATTCTTCTTTCAATACACAGAGCAATGTGAGAAAACGCGCTCATGCGCACATGTATGCATGCATGTGTGTGTGTGTGTGTGTGTGTGTGTGCTACAAAATGTCATCGGCATTTATCGATAGACACTTGCCGCTTGCCAGATTCACTGTCTCTTCTAGCCTCTTGGACTGTGTCGTACCTATTCTTAAAGCTATATATGGAGTCTGCCTCCACCGTTTCTTACTCGAAGTTATTCCACGTACCGAACACCCCGAGGCTAAAGAAATACTTTCTGGCATTGCATGTGACTCATCTGATTTTAACCTCCATCTGTGCCCCCGAGTACCTGTTTCCCGCCTCTCAAATAGTCTGTCCCTGTCTGCCCTATCAATTCCTCTGAGTATATGTGTGAGTGTGTGTTTGTATGTACTCACAAATATTTGTAATCATTTGTGGTTGCTGGGGTCGAATCACAGCTTCTGGCCCCTTCCCCTCGTCGCTACTGTGTGTATCCGCGTGCGTGTGTGTGCCTGTGTGTGCGCTTGCGTGCACACGGCTTCCCTGATCGGTATGAGAAACAACAATGTTAAAGTCAGAAGTCAACTATATTTATCTAACACAACAACCACACAGGATGGCTTCTCTTACAAAAGGTTGTGAAGTCTACTAACTTGGGCGGCTAAATTTTGGTGCATTCACTCTCGGTCTGCCACATGTATCACACAATGGATGAAATAATTCCTGTGCTATAAATATCTCGTCCCAAGCCATTACAAATAACAATGAAAATCTACGGCGCCGACAGTCCGTGTTTCACTTACACATTAATTAGGAGAGATGCGGCCAAAAGCCATTTATTTATGTATCGCATATGTGAATGGAAGAGCTTTTCTTTAATTTTATCATCATGGCGTCATGTTAAGGAAGATCATGTGGTCAGGTCACTGTGTGGGCGGCACATCGTGCGTCAGGCAGGAGCGCTCGACTTGACATTTGGAGGCAACAGTCACATGTGTGAATGATTCTATTAGCGGCAGCCTGGGCCAGGTAGAAGCAGGTGTTACTGCTTCTCATTCTCTGAGATTGGTGAAGATGCTGTAAGCGACACATATATGACAGTTTTAATACACTTATTTGTATGTTCTTTATATTATTCGGGGAAAAAGTATATTAGGAATATTGAGTGTTTACAGGTGTAGTTCACTTACATCCCACTGCTTTGTAATTTTTGCGAAAACTAAATGCCACACAAATATTTTAACGAATTTTGCTACTGCTACGTGACGAAAGGATAAACACTAGAAACTAATTAAAGATGAAGGAGAAGAATACGTTATTTTGTATTAAAATAGCCTAGGTTATTCTCGCCATCTAGGGTTTATTGTGTAATATTTCTTACATATCGTTACAGTGGGTTGTCTAGTGACCTCTGATTTACTATGGAGGTCCTGTCCCATCAATCACCGGTGTTTTGGTGTAATTCGAGCCGGGAGGGAGTGAGACCTTTCTTGTCCTCAACATGTTTCTTGTAGCTCCGCCCCCCCGAATATAAGCAGCCAGTCAGAGTGGAGCTCCGCCCAGCCAGCGCCGCTGATTGGTTACTTTCAGTGAGATCAATATGGCGCCGGTCCACGTCCTTCGTTTCTCTTCCCGAGGAAGAGATGCAGAAATTTCACCGTCGTACGACCAGTATCGATCGATTACATCTTATTCCTTTCAGCTGCAACAGATTTCTAGCTTGTGTTTGCTGTAGTGTTTCCTAGCAGACATAAGAACTGGGAGTGGGTAGCGTAGGTGGTGTGCAGTGGTTGCTTGTAGCGGCGGCTGAGGCGGCGGCGGGAGGCAGGTGTAGCGGCGGAAGCGGCGGCGGCCGCCAAGGTAACGATCCCAGGCTGACCAACGGAGTGAGCCGCCGCCTCGCCGGTGTGCGTTGGCGGTACACCTGTACTTATAGTTGAGCGCGAGGCCGCTAGGTGGCAGCGGTATCGTGCGTGGTTGTCGATTGTCGGGCAAGGCAGGCGCGGGTGTAGCGTGGCTCAGCCTTCCAGGGTAACCTACGCACCCGGCACCCTTGAATCCAGGTCAACCAAGGGAGCCACCCACACAATTAACGACGAAAAAAGCGATTTTTTGACGGTTGAGGAGTGGCGAGGGCGGTTCATAGGCGGACACAAGCTGGTGGAGAGGAGAGGAACTCCTGAGGTCGCCAGACACCTGAGCTTCACAGGGCTGCCAGCGCCATTGATTCCAGGACTTGAAGACTACCACACCATGGTCTCCTTCACACCGAGTCCTGTTTCCCTGTGAACGTTCCACGCTCCCGCGGTCCCCACCTGCTGAATGTTAAGTCTTGTGCTTGTGCTCTGGTGTGACGAGGTAAATGTGCGGCCTAGGGTTTAGACTGAAGAACACCCCTTCCAAGAAAACATCTCTGCGCTGGGGTGACTGTTGTGGGCGCAGCGCTGTAGTCAGGTGCAGCCCCAGCCCTCACCAGGCAATATGACTGTCCCTGCCTCACTTAGCTCCCCAGGATCGCTGTCTCTCTGCGGTGCTGTCTTCTCAACACGCTGAACACCGCCTGTCTTCGTGTCAGGGAACTTCTCCTGGTGTGCTCTGCTGGGGACCCCACAACAAGTGCTCTCTCTCGCAGTATTCCTTCAAACAAAGACAAGTCTTCCAGCCAAGCTGCTACCCTCGACGCAACACGTTACAGGTGTTACACGCAACACGTTACAGGTGTTACACGCAACACGGTAAAAGGTGTTACATGCAACAAGAAATAACTTTGAAACCAAAGACACAAGATTTATTTTTTTTGTTATATATATAAACATAAACGAATATTTTCACTCATCGAAATTTTGTAACAGCTTTGAAAATATTTTTATTTTGGAAAACAAAATATAGAGAGAATTGTGTACTTTGTGTACAGTAGAAAGAACCTGTGAGCGGTGCAGCGCCAGGTGAGTGTGACGAACGTTTTCTGACTTGTACAGGGGATTGTAGTGTAGGGAGGTGGGGTAGGAGGGGAGGGGAGTGGCGGAAGGGATGGGGAGTGGCGGGGGAGGGGACAGGGCAGGGAGAGTGATAGGGGAGAAGTGGTGCTACGGTGGAGTCAGGGAAGGGGGGAGAGAGAGGAAGGGAGAGTAGACAGAGAGGGAGGGAATGAGGCAGGGAAGTGAGCAGGTAAGTGGGGGAGAATCGGGGAAATCTGGGGAGAGGAGGAGGCGGAGAAGAAAGCAAGATGAATAGAGGGAAGGTAAAGGAGAGAGAGAGAGAGTGGAGGGCTGGGGAAGGGAGGGAAGGGGGTTGGGGAAGGGAAGATAGGTGACGGAGGGAAGGAGAGACAGGGCTGGGGTAGTGAAGAAGGGGTAGAGGATATAAATTAAGAAGGCCGAAAGCATGAATTAAATTTTAATTCTGAACACCTGATTACTATTTCTCTCAGTGACAGGCAAGCATGTGGCCTCTGACGTTACTGTGGGCGTGACTGTCCGTACTGACGTTACCGTGGTCGTGACTGTCCGCCCTGACGTCACTGTGGACGTGACTGTCCGTCCTGACGTCACTGTGGGCGTGACTGCCCGTCCTGACGTCACTGTGGGCGAGACTGTCCGTCCTGACGTCACTGTCGGCGAGACTGTCCGTCCTGACGTCACTGTGGGCATAAATTAAGTGTATTATTAACAATGTATAATGTGTATCCCTTTGATTCTAGTACCGTACCCTACTCCTAGGTCACTACTCTCCTAGGAGAGTAGTGACCTAGGATAGTAGTGACCTAGGAGTTATGACCTAGGAGAGTTATGACCTACGAGAGTCTTGATCCAGGAGAATAGTGACCTGGGAGAGTCTGGGCCTGATAGAGTATCACCCTGGGGAGTACGACCCTGGGTGTGTACGAATTTGGGGAGTATCACCCTGATGGAGGAAGACCCGGGGGAATAAAACACCAGGGGAGTGTGACCTTGGGGTGGTATCAATCTGAGGAGTATCACCCTGGAGGAATACGAGTCTGGGGAAGTATTACCCCAGTGAGTATCACCCTGGGGGAGTACGAGCCTGGGGACTATCACCCTGGAGGAGTGCGACCTTGGGGAGCAATATCCTGGGGAGTATGACCCTGGGGAGTATGACCCTGGGGAGTATGACCCTGGGGAGTATCACACTAAGGAGTACGACCCTGAGGGAGTATGACCCTGGGAGAGTATGACCCCGGAGAGTGTCAGCCTGGGGGAGCAACACCTTGTGGGAGTACGACCCGAAGAGTATCACCCTGGAGGAGTATGGCTCTTGGGAAGTACGACCCTGGTTAGTTTCACCATGGAGACTACGACCCTGGTTAGTATCACCATGGAGACTACGACCCTGGTGGGGTTTGACCAGTGGGGAGTACAATCCTGAGGTAATACTACTTGGGAGAGTACTAAGGAGAAAGTACGACCCTGGGGAGTATCACCCTAGGGAGTACGACCCTGGGGATGCATCACACTAAGGAGCACAACCCTGGGCAATTACGACCCTGGGGAAGTATCACCCTTGGGAATATAACCGTGCAGGAGTACGACTCTGGGGAAGTATCATCCTAGGGGAGTACGACCCTGGGGAGCATCACCCTGGGGGAGTGTCAACAGAGTTACTTGTGTAGTACACTTAGATCATCCCAGCTACTTACAGTAAGGGACCCTTCTAGCCGTGACGTCACGAGATTCCCTTCGTGAGCCGTAGGCCAGAGTCCTCACTCTCACTTCCACGCTAGGCCTAGGCAAGTAAATAAGTTCATTCAGGTATACACAAATACAGTTACATAGATTATCAAACATAACAGCAAATGTGTAGAGAACGTAGGATAAACCCAAAAAGTCAGACAAAGTGACTTATTTCCGCTGGGTTCCCCTCAAGACTCTCTTAGTTATACGTCTCCATGACATCCAACGTGTGTATTTCTTACTCCAATATCTCGTGACAAACTCCCACGACAGGAGTACGACCATGCGGAGTATTGCTCTGGGGGAGTATCACCCTGGGGACTGTGACCCTGAGGAAAAATCACCCTGAGGTGTATCACCCTGGAGGAGTACGACCCTGGGGGAGTATCACCCTGGTGGAGTATGACCCTGGGGACTATCACGATGGGGGAGTGCGGCCCTGCTGGAGTACGACCTTGGGGAGTGTCACCCTGGGGAGTACGACCTTGGGAGTATCACGCTGGGAAGTACGACCCTGGGAAATATTACTCTGGGGGAATACGACCCTGGAGACTATCACCCGGGGGAATGCAAACCTGGGGACTATGACCCTGGGAAGTATCACCCTTTGAAGTATCACCGAGGGGAAGTACGACTCTGGGAGAGTATTGCCCTAGGGAGTATCAGCCTTGGAGAGTACAACTTTGGGAGTATCACCCTGGGGGAGGCTCAACCTAGGGGAGTACGACCCTGGGGAGAATCACCCTGTTGGAGTACGACCCTGGGGAGTATCACACTGGAGGAGTGCGAACCTGGGGTAATATTCTAGAGAGTATCACCCAGGGGGAGTATGATCTTGGAAAGTATCACACTGGGGAGTAAGACCCTGGTGAGTATTACACTGGGGAGTACGACCGTGGGGGTATATCACCTAGGGGAATACGACCGAGCGGAATTACGACCCTGCGGGTGTATCATCCTGGGAAGTATCACAGTGAGGAAGTACGACCCTGGAGAGTATCAACCTGGGAGGTTCACCCTAGGGGAGTACTCCCCTGGGGAGTATTACCCTGGAGAGTGCGACCCTGGGGTGTATCATCCTAGGGGAATATGACAATGGGGAATTACGGCCCTGGGGGTGTATCACCCTAGGGAGTATCACCGTGGGGGAGTAAGACCCTGGGAGAGTATCACCCTGGGTATTATCACCTGGGAAAAACGACCTTGGGGAGTATCATCTTGGGAAGTATCACCGTTGGGAGTACGACACTGGGAAAGTATTACCCTGGAGGAGTATCACCCTGGAGAATATCATCCTGGGGAAGTAAGACCCTGGGGAATGTCACCCTTGGGGGATATGACTTGAGGAGTACGATCCTGGGGGAATGTCGCCCTGAGGGCGTATCACCCTGGGAAGTATCACCCTTGAGAGTACGACCCTGGGGGAACATCACTCTGGGGGAGTATCACCCTTAGGAGTATCATCCTGGGGAGTACGACCCTGGGGTTATGTCACCCTGAAGAAAGTATCACCCTGGGGAGTACGGCTTTGGGGGAATGTCACTCTGGGGAGTGCGATCCTGGGGGAGTACCACCCTGTGGAGTACGACCCTGAGGGAATGTCACCCTGGGGAGTACGACCCTGGGGAATGTCACCCTGGGGAGTACGACCCTGGGGAGTCTTATGAAACCGGTTTAATTATCTCACCCAAAGGATATTAATTATATTAATTTAATTAACGTGGAAGCGCTAAATCCGTAGGGGTTATACAGCGTCTGGGGGCTTGGTGGGTAACCTGGAGAGATCCAGGAGAGGTTAGCTCCAGGTCCCAGGATCAAGAGATCTTTAGTGGGAATATGTTATCAATGGGTCCTGGTAACATTGTTCATTGTCAGGATAAGCCCATCAGGATAACCTTGATTAGGTCTTGGTAACACTGAGTCATCCTCTTTACAACCCAGAGAGGAAGTTGGTGGGTTCTGGTAATACTGAGTGACCCACCTTAATGCCTAGAGGGAGTGCAGTTTGGTTGGCAACACTACCTAGAAGGAGAGCAGGTAGGTGTTGGCAACACTACTTAGATGGAGAACAGGTAGGTGTTGGCAACTCTACCTAGATGGAGAGCAGGTGTTGGCAATACTTACTACCTAGATGGAGAGTAGGTGGATGTTGGCAACACTACCTAGATGGAGAACAGGTAGGTGTTGGCAACACTACCTACTTGGAAAGCAGGTGGGTGCTGGCAAAATTTACTACCTAGATGGAGAGCAGGTGCGTCTTGGTAACACTGCCTAGATGGAGAGGTGTTGGCAATACTTCCTACGTAGAGGGAGAGCAGGTGAGTTTTGGTAACGCTACCAAGAGGGAGAAGAGATGTTGGCAGTACTTATTACCTAGAGGGAGAGTAGGTCGGTAGAGGAGAGAGAGAGAGAGAGAGAGAGAGAGAGAGAGAGAGAGAGAGAGAGAGAGAGAGAGAGAGAGAGAGAGAGAGAGAGAGAGAGAGAGAGAGACAGACAGACAGACAGACAGACAGACAGACGGAAACAGAAAGGTCTGGAATAAAAGGAAACTGGAAGGAGATGCAAAGTAGAATGCGGGAAAGGAGAGGCAGGGAGAATGCAAGAAGGACCCAATAAAAGGGAAAGTGACTCAGACAGAAAGAAGGGAAGTGATGGCAACATCTCGTTGTGGCTGGATTGCTGATCAGAATGAAAGAGAAAATGGATGTGAAACTAGATTACCTCCGAGAGGAAAGAGCCAAAATTTTTCCCAAAGGATACTTGAAGAAAAGGAAGAATTGGAAGAGAAGACAACCGGGATGGAATAATGGGTTCAAGAAGATGAAATGACGGAATTGAGAGATGTTAAATGGCTAAATGGAATGGGTGAAGTAGGGAAGCAATGACAGACAAAGAGAAGAACGAGGGTGGAAACGAGAGACCTTTGCGGACACGTTCACGAGAGAGCGTTTCGCTCTGTGTTAGAGCTTCTCGAAGTCAATGATTCACCTTACTAGTTACTGATCTGATAAAAAGAGAAAAGTTGCAATAGAAAGCTTGATCTGCACCTATGTCTTTTATTTTTCACCGTCAGCAGTGATTCTTGCTAACCAAGATCATGACGGACAGCTGACAAGATATTCTGGAAAAACAGGCAACCAGAAGAGAGGAAGACGAGGTGTCGTTTAAGAGGCACGTAAGTTCCCCCGTTTTCTATTAAAATATTTGTTTTTTTTCCACTGTAATCTACCTTGTCCATGGTTACTATTACATTT